GCCGCTGCGATAAGCTTGGGGCCTCCACGCCCTCTTCGACGAGCAGGCGATGCGCCCGGGCCGAGTTTAAACAATTCTCCTCACGAAAGCGTTTAAGGGTATATACTATATTTATATTGTAAGTTAAATACACCTTCAATGTCATTTATAAATTAACTGACATTGAAACACGCAGGTAAGAGGGATCTATCACCGCGTATGTTCTGTTTGTATTCCTATTCATCTTTACATTAATCGGCGTATTCAGGACTTTCCTCCCTGAATGTGTCTTTACTCCAGGGGCAAATATATGGTTCATTCATCAGTCTCCCCAAACAATCTCGCTCCTAACCCGCGTCGGGTGTATTATGTAACTTCTTATTTCCCGACGAGCATAGCTCGTGAGCCCATCCATGCTTAAAGTAGGTTTCAGGTACACAGTGCAAGTTTCGTGTGCAGCGCGTTGACAGGGTTCTTTAATGCCCAATCAAAGGCTAACGGGGAACGAAAGGCAGTTTCAGGGGGGATTCGTTGTGTACTGGTGAAGCATAGTACGGCGCCAAGAAAACTTACACGGCCATGCCTTACGCACGATTCGGACGAAACGCGTGCTTGAATGCACGAGCCTCAATTGCCGTCGGGCCACCACGGTGTTTACTATATTAGCCATTCGTTAAAGAAGATGTTGAACATATTCTCCTTCACAAAATAACGATAAGTTTTTAGTACATTAATCAGGTTCTGCATCAATTATAATCGTCGCCAGTTTTCATCGTGAGAGTTTTTCCATCAAAATTATATTTGGGTCACTTCAATAACATATTATTGCGTTTCACGATCACTATATTCCGCAATGATTTGAATGTACAATTTTGTGACTGAAGATAATAAATTATTGTCAAAAAAAACACATCTTCACATGTCGACATTTAATTAACGAGGTTAAGAAATCCGTTAATTTACTTTCCCGTTTTACCAAAGAATAATTTGGCATAAAAAATGGACAATTTTGATTCGCCTAGAATTGCACGCGCCGAGTGTTGGGCACGGTGAAGAAGGACGCTAGACAGCGACCGGCAGCAGCAAAGTCGCGAGGCGGCTCAGCGAAGCGAGCGGTCGCTGGCGCCACTGGCTGGCTGGGAGCAGGCTGGCGCCACACGCGCCGCCCGCCGCGCTGCTGTCGTCTGCTGAGGGACGTCGGGCGGGCGGGAGAGGGAGTGGGCGGGAGTGGGAGGCAGTCTGCTTGCGCGCGAGTGGAGCTGACAGCTCGGGGCTGCACCCGACACGAAATGTTCCCCTCCCTAATAGCGGGTAACATTTCTTTTGTGAGGATTCACAGTCACTGATGTTCCGGAGGCTGAGCGAAGAGAACATAACTTTTCCAAAATATACTTTTGTTCCCCGTTGTTTTATATTAAAATGACGCGATAATACACACTGGAGGGTTGTGACAACAGCCATTTTATTTCCACCGACGTTGTTTTTTCACCGTTTGTAAACTAAAGCCAAAGAGGGAGACGTTATTTTGCCTGATAGTATATTCCGTCATCCAACACCACGTGCATAAGGAGTCATCACCAAGAGCGATATTAAAGTAAAAAGAAGAATGTTGGACAAGACTTTTCTCACGGACCACTATCAACAGCTACAAAAATTAACGAATCGCACGGGCGATCTCAGAATACAGTCATGGTTGTAAAGTGATTATCTACTGTTTGTATAAAAGTTGTTAGAGAGATAACCACAATCAAAACGGGAATAAGGGGTGAAAGGTTAATAATTAGCGGACCACATGCGAAGATAACAGGAAAGACATAAAACTAAAGAATATTTTCTTCTGGGACAAAGAAACTCTATATAGAAATACCAATTAAGTTCGAAAATCCATTTTAGAATAAAATGAAGGAAGAACCAAAGTAACGTTTGTAGTCATTAAAACTCATCTGTCGCATTGTGAAAGAACTCTCCTCATTAACTTATTTTAAATGTCCAAAGGTGCAATTTGCTTGAAATATAACGAACGAATTTTGGTGGCCAATAAAGTTATTCAAATTCTGGTTCATTGATGTCTTTATAAAACCCATTACCACAGTTATCTTTAAAACGTATGCTTGCAGAATCTCTACAACTCTCGCAACATAAGTCTTGCTTTTCAAGATAATTTATTTCATAAGACAGAGGTAGGCTAGTTATTTCCTCTGGTACATTCCTTTTGTAGCATTCACGATCGTGACTCACGCGTTATAGAGATTATTCTTCAGTCAGGATAACCACCCATTCCAAGATTTCTTCACAGCATTAGTTCTCATCCACCTTTCGTGTACGTTGGAATGCAAATTCTTTTCCGCGAGCGATTTATCTCACCGTCGCCGACGATGTTACTGCACTTTTTGGACGCGAAGCTGATTTGCAGGAGCGACAGTGTTGCCATGATGGAGCAGCTGTTCTCTATAACGTTTGAACGTTTGGACAAAGGACTGGAGTCCCGACGGTGGAGGATTTTCGACACTATTGCAAGGTGGAATTCAGGCGCTGTCTGGAGGAGGAGAATTCTAGCGGCCGGCTGCTCTCATCATAGTTTTCCGTGATATCCCCAATTCAGACCACAAAAATGCCGGAGCAATATCCTAACAAACGGGCCATGGACCGCGTGCGATCTTTCCTCCTTGTCTCCTCTCTTTGACTCCTCATCCTCCTGCCATTCACACACCTATATAAACTACATTACTATACATGTCGGGAGACCTGTCGGAAGCTAAGAGATAGTCCCGGCTGGAGCAACTGGTGGAGATTCCAGGAGAGGCGAAACCTCCGCAAGCCGACCTTTATGCGACTTCGGAACTCACATTCTATACTTCGATTTTTCTACAGTGGTTTAAGACATTAGGCCATTGTTGCACCTCCTGCCTTATAAAATGGATATTTTTAATTAAATCGTGAACGTCCTTCTCAACGGGTCTCGTGGCCACAGAAATGTGCTTACCCCTGTTAAAAATATTAATTTTATAAGGCAGGAGGTATAGCAGTGACCTGATGTCATCGGCCTCTATAGAAAAATCGACGTATGGAGCGGGAACTACGCCTCCTCCACGACAATAGCGTGAACTACACTCACAAGCCCAACGCCCACAGCAGTTGAAGCGTATAAAAAAAAAAATCGGGGAGGGGGCAA